CACCGTGAACCAGGGTGAACCCCCCCCCCCCCCCCCCTCTCCCAACATACCGCATGAAGGAACCGTGTGGCCCGGTAGGTTGTAGACTAGCTTGCCGTGCAGCTCCCACCAGCAATGTCTGCATGCGCTCCTGAACAGCCGTCATGTCGTCGCCCTGGGCAGCTGGACTCTCACCCTGCATGGAAATCAGTAAATCCATCCACATTGACGAATTAACAAAAAAACAACTACACAAAGATCGTACTCTCAGTCTAACATGGAAAAAAGGAGAAAAAAGCGGTGAGAAATGACACACCAAAAGGACACTACATGTACTTCAAATACTAGTACTTCGAAGTATGTTTTCGCTACAATACTGGTGCCGCGCACACTCCCTGCTTGTGTGTGTTTTCCACTGGCGTTAACAGCTGCTGAGGAACACTGAGTACCCTATTCTATTACCCCCCCCCCCCCCCCTCTCCTCTCCACACAGGTGAAATACATCCTATAAGGATTTCACTCAAAGGCTTGCGCACTGCCGTGGGGCCGTGGTGTTGTTCAGGGTTCCCTGCGCACCACCACTAGTCCACCACCTATCGGTCGCTGACCTGCACGACGGCTCACTATATACTACTGTACAATGCAAGGGCTGTGATACAGAGGTGTATACGTAGGTGCACATGTCACTAACTGTTCTACAACAACATGTACAATACACTGACCAGCCAAGTGATCAAGAGGCATCCATACACACGCCAGTATACACGGACAGCACAAGTAGTCATGTACAATACACTGACCGACCTTGCCATTGAACGTGACTCGAACGCCGGAATAACGTGCCATCAAGTCAACGAGATTCACCAGATCCAAGTTTGGCATCTGACCGTTGACACCATCTAAGGGAAGGAAAGAAAAGAAGAAAAAAAGAGAGAGAAAAAGAGGAAACGGTGGCACTGTATGCGTGAAGAGAATGAGGAAGGTTTTTACACTTTGGAACATGAGTGAATTCACTTGAGAAGAGGAGTCTGTGACACCAACATCAAATCAGGCAGCTGTATTCCAGAAACCCTACTGTATATTAGTACTGTGCATCCAGCTAAGTCACCATTGTGGTACAGTAGTACTACGTTATGCACTCATATATCCACACATCATCACAAAGACACTCATACTCATACTCCTGCCAATCGCTGAAGCGATGATAGCAAACAAGCTATGTTAGACATAGCAACTTGTGCACAAAGACACACACGCACACACACACAGAAGTGGCCTCACCTGGCAGCAGGTCAAACTTGGAGAAGCGATCTGTGGCCACATCGAGGCAGAGTGCAGCTTGGATAGAGCCAGACCAGGCAGGCAAAGGATCCGAGCGGAAATCTGAATGCATGTGCAAAGAGTACGCACATGCACAAACACACACACACGCACGAATGTTATAAATTATATTGTCACAACAACATGAACACATATAGCTATGCATGACATCAAGAGTCCATAAACAGGAGTATGCAACTGTGATCTCTTTTCTATGGGCCAGATGCGCGGCGCGCTGCCTTCATTACATCATTCAGCTGCAGTCCGCGCACTGCGGAAAATCAAACACCGCACTTTCCCTCTGGTTTGAAATGAACTTTCGTACGGAACTGGAGTTCACGCGCCAGAATTTAGAGATCGCGTAGGTACTGGAACGAATCGAGCAAAAACGGATGGGCTCGCACGAGAAATTGTGAGTTTGAATGCATGCTTTCAGAGCGTGATGAAGGCAAGTTACGTAATGAAGGCAGCGCGCCGCGCATTGACCCATCACCACAGTTGCATATTCTTGTTTATGCACTCTTGATGACATTGTCTGTTACGCTGGCTATTGCTGCGACATTTTGAAGTCCAGCACGATGTACTGTAGCAAGCAAAGATTCACACGCGTAATAGCAACACATCAGACTCTGTGCTGGACTCACAGGCACTTCTGAAGGAGCTATGGTAGGCCTGCAGCCAAGCTTCCGTTCCCCACACACCCTGATCCACGATCAGAACAATGATGTCCTTGGCCCAGTATGCTTGCTCTGCAGAATAGGACAAGAAAACACAACAAGCACGCCAGGAGAATGAAAGACTACATGAATGAAAGTGTGTGTGTGTGTGTAGAGCACAGGATCAATGCTTTATGGTGTAGTCTAGTGCTGATTTCTAGTAGTTTGACTGAGTAAAGGCGAGTACAGGGTGCATGCAGAGTGGCGTACAGAAAACCTTCTGCTGAGTCACACCATGCACTGCATCATTTGCTGGTGTATTCATGGAGACCCACCAGCCAGTGGAGATACATTGACCAAAGCAATACAGTACCACACATCATCATCATTATCAGCAGCATTCCAGGCTACAGCAGCATTCCAGGCTACAGCAGCATTCCAGGCTACAGCACTTCGCATCAGTAGCAGTAGCATTAAAAATGCCGGCAAGTCAGAACGGTCATAATTCAAGTGTGACCTGTTGGTGTGAGTGCACGTACGCGTCCATGGAATACCACTCTGCGCTCAGAAGAGAGGCATTTCACGGCAATCAAAGAGGACAGTCACACGCATACACGCACACACACGCACACACAAAGTGTTGAGCCGACATACTTTTCATCAGAGCGCCCATCATTACGATGTGCGCAACGCCACGCACGTTATCGCTGCGCCACGCGGCCACCAGAACCAGCGCCTCTGTACTGGCAATGCGCGGAGCACGCACTATTCCAAAGACGTTGTGGCCACTGGAAACCTGGACACACAAAGACACGGAGTAGAACATCCCCAACACACAGTGATTCACACGGGACACATATTTGTACAACACACAGTGATGCACAGGATACTACACATATTTGTACATGTACAAGTAGAGCAGTTGAACATCTATACTGTTGTACAAGAAACAGTGATATCAAGGCAGCTTAGACCAAAGATCTTTTTCTGGTAGCCCATCCATTTGACAGTGGTGTTTGCAGCATCAAGGGTGTCAGGGTGTCCTGAGGGAGAATAAGATCGCTCTGTGTTTGAATGCTTAGAACTATCGTACATGATCATCGAACAATATCCATGAACACTGACTGGAGAAAAAAAAAAAAAAGAGAGAGAGAGAGAGAGAGAGAGAGAGAGAGAGAGAGAGAGAGAGAGAGAGAGAGAGAGAAGGGAGAGGGGGTGTACATCTTCGAAAATATGGGCTACTACTTCGAAGTACAAGTCTGAAGCAAAGTGCGTACCTCCGAAGTGCTGGCACTGAATGGATGGGAGACAGAGAAGTTCTGTTGATGAGATTCCAAGCCCAGTGAAGACAGTGCTTGGTCGAGAAACTCCACAGGGATTGCACCATTTCTGCAGATAAAGAAGCCATACGTCGAAGCAATGGATAGATGACCTCAACTCTATAGAAGGTACAAGGACAAAGAAAGCCAGTGCAGAAATGCAATACTGTGCAGCAGACAGTGCTGCTTTTCGCAGCATTTCCGCAGGCACGGCATGACCCTCTAGCCCCCCCCCCCCCCCCCGACTTAGACAGAGAAACCTGCCGCTGTGTACAACATAACCGCCGGGGAGACACGCTGCTTTCATACCACATACATATACACTGTATATACTGCAATCGAGAAACAGTCATTAATGATTTGGAGCCGCTTGTTAAAAAGTCACCCATGGGCAAAGAAAGAAGATCGTGTGTATGCGTTGAAAACGCACTTGGCGATGGCCAGGCGAATACATCCTCAACGAACATTTTGCTGCGTATACTTAAAAATATACACAGCCACCTCGACCGGCAGCGGAAAAAAGCTTGACAACCGACAGCAACATGCTAAGAGATGGCAGCAGTGCTTGATCCGTGACGGATTTATGCCAAACTGTATGAGCAACTATCATCCATCTCCTGTGTAGAACCATACCGTAAAAGTCCGTAAATAAGTACGTATTTACTTTCGAATTTAGTGACCACACCCGTACTAACTTTCGGGCGGGTACTGACTTTCGGGCACGAACTAACTTTCGGACCTGACTTGTGTGTAGTGGAGAAGTCATTTTCATGTAGATGTACATGCTATGTGCTGCATGTGCGCACCGTACCGGTACTTATTTCGGGCAGTATGTTTATCGGGCCTGACTTGACTTCAACAGACAGAGCCAAAAGAATGAAGGGGGTATTTCTTTCGGGCAGGTACTTATTTACGGACTTTTACGGTATATGTATAGTATTCTGCAGCACAGTACTTAGACCACTACTTAGACAACTACATGTTACATGTATCAACTTACGTCTGTGAAGCTGCTCGGGTCAGATCCCGTACCAATGACTCATAGCGCGCCATGTCACCCTGGCTGACAGTGCTTGCAGCGACACCTGGCTGCAGGGCGTTCTCGGAGAAGTAGGTCTTGCCGTTAAACTGATTGTGCGACAGCAAGCACAGCCCAGCGAGGCTGGCAAGATAGCAGAGGACACTGCAGGACAGAGAAGCAATACAAGACAGTGGCCAGTGCTCAAATCACAGAATCCCTACATCAGCCTGTATTGCGGCTATAACTGTAGTAGTCACACTGCACACCTCTGTGCATATCACACACACAGGAGGCAAACTGCACATCACACAACACACACACACACACACACACACACACACACACACACACACACACACACACACACACACACACACACACACACACACACACCATTTGACCATTTGACGCCCATCGCCGGAGGCGATGATAGCGATGCTACAGCAGGAGCCATAGCAGCTTGTGCTGGGATTGCACCATTCAACAGCTTGCAAGGCTGAAGAATTGACCGCCACTATTCAGCCTGGTCTACACCACACAGCTATGAAGTGGCTTTTTCTGGCCAGTGAATTCCTCACACACACACACACACACACACACACACACACACACACACACACACACACACACACACACACACACACACACACACACACACACACACACACACACACACACACACACACACACACACACACACACACACACACACACACACACACACAGAGGAGGCAAACTGCACATCACACGCACACACACCCACACGCACCCACACACAGAGGAGGCAAGTGGCAAACGGTACATCACACACACACACACACACACACACACACACACACACACACACACACGCACACGCACACATCCAGAGGAGGCCGCAAACTGCGTTCACAAAGTTGGGGTCCCAGATTTGTCACCTATTCGTTCGGGCTTATATGCTTGTGTGCCTGGTGTTGACTGTGTTAGCAATTTCAGAGATATGCTACTACAGTCCATTCATCGGAAACAGCCCCGCTGGCTTTCAAAAGTCGGATTTGGGCTGAATTGAGGATCAAAAACCCACTTTAAATCTCAAAAATCTGGGGTTTGGATCTGCTTCTCCATACATTTTGCCATGGCATACCTGTCCTGATTTTGTGAAACCTGGCTGAATTTCTATTTCCCTGTTCTTGGACTTTTCTGGCCTCAAATGTGGTAAGGAGTAATTGCACGGTCACACAATGCAGGATGTACTGTTGTTTTCACGATATCTACAACTACCGGTATGTGTGGGAGACACCAACAAGTTAGGGTGGCAGTTTCCAATGAATGGACTGTAGACATGATAATTGTGTAAAGTATTTCCATATGCCACATGACCGAATGACCACGCCTGGGCAGCTGAGGGATAGGTACATATATTACGCGAGTGGGTGCGACGCGTGGCGGAGTCACGCGGTGCCAATAGGAATACATCGTGGGCGAGACAACAATCACGTGGCGATCAACAAAAAAAAAGAAGGCATACTGTACACTGCATGTAGTAGGTCCCGTTCCATCGTACACATCTCGTCGAAATGTTCATGTATGCGAACCAGGCCGGCAAAGCGAGGGCCCATGACCGATAGCTCTCTCGTTGCCAATCTCTATCCCCACAGAATAACACGGACAAAATCCTAAAATGACACGTATGCGCATAATTATGCGGGCGAAAACAGGCCATTATGCACCAAATATGCGGTATAATGCGGTCATTAAGGCCGATTCACAATACAACTTCTTACGACGCGACATGCCACTTGCGACAGCGACACACGGTTCGTAATCTTTTTCGTGTTTGCGACATCCTTATGCACTACAAGTATAGTAGTATAAATAAATTCGACGGGGTTCGCGTACCGGGCAGGTCAAGAACAAGGAGTCGTACAACTCCCTGGTCAAGAACCACCTTTCCGCTTCCGTGGGACGCCACCACCCCATGATAAGGATAGATCAGATCCACCAACCAGAGGCCAAAGGCCTCGATCCCATTTGCCACATCCATGTATTACTCATGCCAGGCCACGAGTTCCCAATTAACTGTGGGTCGCAGCACTATAGTAGTATAGTATAGTAGTATAGTATAGTAGTACAATGCACGTGCACCCAGGGTTGAAACTGTACTCCATTCGTGTATGTCGCATGTCGCAAAAGTTGAACTTTCTACAACTTCTGCGACAGGTGCCTTGCGACAGCCAGTTTCTTGTCGCAACTGTTGCAAATCGCGTCGCAGAAAGTTGCATTGTGAATCGGCCTTAAGGGTTGGTTCACAAAAGCAAATCGGCGCCGCAAGACATCGCAAGACATCGGCGGTGAGCCAGCTCCCGATCTGTTGCGCATACGGTTCGAGTACCAAATCTACTACAAAGCAGTACAGAATGTGCCCAAATGCTACGACAGGTTTGCCAATTAAAGCTTGAATTCTTTGTTTCTTCAGTAGTTCAAGGTCTTTCGGTGATGGCCACTCGGTGCTACCTTTTACTGGAGATCATGGAACTACTTCTACACCTTTTTGTTGCAGTCTAGTAAGCGGTGGTGTCGAAATTATGCGTGCAAACGTTAATGAAGTCACACGAACTTGTCTATGTATCCTTCGTATTTTTTATATATTTTTTCAATTGTATTTGTCCGATAAGTTGCACAACAGTCAAGCAGATCATCCGAGAAGGACGGATTGGTATGCTGACTTAATTTGCGACCTTGAAACGACTACAAGAATGGCGAACGGACCTCATCTTTAGCTTCCATATAGGAAAATTTAGTATGAGTCTTGGTTTGAAATTTTGACAACGTCTGGCTCCCGGCACCGGCGCGAACGGTTCACAAACCACTTTTGTTTAAAATTGTACGGGATCGGCGCCAGGGCAGATCGCAAGAGTTGGGCACTGTCCAACTTTGCCGGTGGTCCCTTGCGATATCACCGTATGATTTTGTTACGACTGCACTGGTTCACATAATCGCAATGCGCAGGGAGAGGTTGCAAGAGGCCCACTCCCGGTGACTGCCGGCGCGTACCGGCGATATGTGAACCAACCCTTATGCACGAGTTGTCTGTCGTTGGTACACATTTACTGTACAGTTTCATGCAAGTATACAACTTTGTTGTACAAACTCCTGGTCGGGTACGACGTAGTGTATTTTCAACATCATGTACTGTTAATCATCATGTTTTCTCGTGCATTTCCATGGATAACGCGGGTTTTACGCAAAATTTCTAGAAAACGCGGATGAAAGCCATTACGCGGAAAATTGCGCGTCCGCGGAATTGCGGTATCCTGTGGGGACAGCAATCTGCGGACATTACCTCGTTGTGGTTTGTGGACAAATCAGCGCAGCACAGAGAAATGCGGCTGCATCGGGTAAAAAAAATCAATTCTCAAAACCAGAGTTTTAAACCTGGCATTAGTGTGTCTTGTTAGGGTGCTCAAACTGATGTCTACGAGTTGTGCACCGAGCAAACCGTGAAGGGGCTACCCATTGCATATTGACGGTCCCTATTAAAAAAAAATTTCACGGTTCGCGTGAGACTCGGCTGGAAGCCGGGTTTTCCGCATCCGTAGGAACGCCACCACCCTTCAAGGATCAAGGCGCAGATGCAGCTCCTAAAGCAGCTCCTAAAGAGGAAAACATGGATGCAGTGAATGGGATTTTCGGTCTTTGACCACTTGCTGGTGAGCTGATCTACTCACCTCCCACCGCTTTAGGACGGTCCCTATGGTGCGTTTCAAAAGTCCAGACCTCTGGTTTCAAAAAACCGTTAGCTATTAGGCCAGCATCTATAGAACATAAATCTGTGATCAATTTGTGCATAAAATTTTCGAAATTGGGCGTTTGTTATCCAATCCCTTAGAAATTTATATGAGAAAAACTGCGTGAGCTGCCTGAGCAATATTCCAAAGAAATTTCTCAAAAAGCTCCAACCATATTTGAATTAAGGACGTTTAGCAATGCGAAAATTCGAACTTTTTGTGGTGGTGATATTTCGCGAAAATCTATTTCGAAAAAGAAAACTTGTGAGGTTTAGCAATGCGAAATGACTTTTTCTCGAAGTTATTTGTATCTTATAGTACCGTACCGTATATGCAGCTCAGTCTCAAGCAGGGGCTGTAAAATTACTACTCCCTGTAGTCAAATGCGTACCGAGAAAAGAGAAAGTTACTAGAGAGGTTCTGCAAAACGAAAATGTGTACGAACTTTCGCTCTACGTCACGAAGTGAGAAACTTCGCACGAACTTTCGCAACTTTGGACGCGAAACTTGCAGGGAACGCGAAATGAACTTTCGTAGGAAGTTTCGTGAGATTGGGTCATGTCGTACGTGCACTTGGCGCGTGCAAACTACGAAAATGTGCAGAACACAAAGTTCGTGCGAAAATTCGTACACATTTTCGCAAGGCCTGTCGCGAAACTTCATTCGAATTTTCGTTGTGCAGAACCTCTCTACTTTCGCAAATCACTGCAACTTCGCGTCCAAGTTTTCGAAGTTTCGAGCTTTTTTTCTGTACTCATTCCCAGACTCGAATTTTCTTTCGAACTTTCGCATTGCTAAACGTCCTCATTATTCGAATGTTATTCGAATGTTATGTTGCAGCCAGTCGACATGCAAAGGGCAGATCTAGAAATATATACATGAACACCAACCCTGTGCGAAGCGGACGCTGTTACACCAGACACGCATCTGCTATAGCCTTATCCTATTCTTCAAATGATAACAAGAGTCCATTAACCCCATGGGGTTAATGGACTCTTGATGGTGTTCAAAATCGCTTCTAGAACTCTGCAGTCTGGAGTGAACTTCACTGCACAAGGTGCAAGTCAGTCCAAAGACATTCAACTCACCCTAGTGGGCGATAAATACGCTGTAGACCTCGTACTGCTTTGCCAAAGCCTCGCGAGGCAGAGGAGCTTGAAAGCAATCCCATGTCAGCCAAGCAAATACAATGTGTTGCGCAGAACTAGTTTATCGGTGAGGAAATCACCATAATGGGAACTAATTTCAACGAGATTCAGGTACAGTAGGTACAAGGCCAGCAGCACGAGCAGGTATTTTGCTGCTAGCTGTATTGCACTGGTAGGTCCTGTAGATGATCGTCCATCCCTCAGGGGAGCCAAAAATAATAATAATAATTGGCTTCTTCAAGTGTACACCTACGTGTAGCTACCTCGCTCATACTAGTATATACTGCAGATATATGTACAAAAAGTCGAGTTTCATGTTTTTTTTTGTTGAGCTCATTGATTCAATGCTTGGGACTTCCCCGTTTTCAACACGTGCGCAAACATCCTCCCGGCCCGCGCCCCGCGCGGCCGCATGCATGCGCATGATGCACCGCACGCGCGCTCGCACCCGGTACCCGGTTATCCGACCCCGGCCCTGGGCCATAACTTATGTGAAGGGGTCCCCCGGCCCCGGGGCCCCGGTCCGGAGCTAGCTCGAGCTGTGCATGCATGTGCGCGTGTAGTGAGGCCGCCGCGTGTGTCTGTCAACACCTGGTCAAGTGCATGCAGTAGATCTACATGCTTGTCGTTTCCTTTTCGTGGTTTCAGCATGTGGCGATTTTGACATGGCTGACAAGCACCCAATATTCCATTTCCGTAAAGTGTTTCCCTCAGTTAGGAGTAGAATTAGCTTTTCTTTGCTCACCAGCAGCCTTGAGACTTGATTCATCTCTTTGTAACTTTCTTAGGTGTGGTGGAAATAGATAGCGCCATGACTAGCACCGGTGTTCACACGATTCTGGGGCAAAGTGGCCTGAAACGGTTTGCTGAGCTCGACCAGAATAACAAAGTGCAGGTGATGTATGTCTGGATCGATGGCTCAGGCGAGCACTGCCGATGCAAGACGAAAACTGTCGACTTTGAGCCAACAGAGGCTTCCCAATTGCCTGTTTGGAACTTCGATGGATCTTCAACTGGCCAGGCCGTGGGTAAAAACTCCGATGTCTTCATCAAGCCCGTTGCCCTTTTCCGTGACCCTTTGAGAGGGGGCAAAAACAAATTGGTACTCTGCGAGGCGTTCAACTACGAAATGAAGCCCGTCGCAACCAACAAGAGAGCGACTTGCATGGCCGCCATGGAAAAATGCAAAGACCAGAAGCCTTGGTTCGGAATTGAGCAGGAATACACGCTATTGGACTTGGATGGATACCCTCTCGGCTGGCCAAAGGGTGGATTCCCCCAGCCTCAGGGCCCGTATTACTGTGGAGTCGGCGGTGGACGCGTTGTTGGACGTGAGGTGGTGGAGGCTCACTATCGTGCCTGCCTCTACGCTGGGATCAAAATCGCAGGTACCAATGCAGAGGTCATGCCAGCACAGGTAAGCTCTTCCGGATTGAGAGTTGTTTAATGAGTGTGAGAAATGGTTTCTCTACTCACTGTTCTCGAAGTCTTTGCACACTGGCATTATGCATTATGCATCATGCACTGGCACTAGAGTCTAGGAGTCTACAACTACAAAGACTGAAGAGTCCCTAAGTTGTATCCTCCCAAGAGTATGCAGCTGTACACATTTGGCCTCATGAGGCACACATGCTACAGTGCTGCTCAATGAAATCCAGTCGCGTCACTCAAGTACGCCCCGGGCGTTGTGCAGCCCTAGAACTGCAAACACTGGGCTGCGAAATGATGCTAGGCGCAAGCTTGAGTGACGCGGCTGTATTTTGTGTCTGCCCGGCTGGGTGTTCAATTCACTATTGTAATGAAGGAAGCATGCTGGGCAGACCCCATGCTAGTATAGTTTAGAGGTCAGAGTTCAGTTGGGTGCATTCACTTTGAAATTGCATACCGTAGAATCCCGCGGATAAGCCCATGGGCCTATCTGTTTCACAAGGACATTTCGGTGTGCTTATGCGCGGGCATGGGCTTATACGCCGACACCAAACTTGTGCTATTGAAAAGTATCAAGGAAGTGAGAAGTACATTGCTGAAAACCATTGTGCAAACAGAAACAACCGATGATTGTGTTGAAATGCACAAAAAAAACTACATGTACATGGTATGACCAAGAGTCCATAATTTATGGACTCTTGGTATGACGTACATGTAGGCCCATAGGCTTGTACAATGAAGCTTTGTGATGTTCGAACTAACCCTGGGCTTATGCGCGAGCATGGGCTTATCCGCGGGACTCTACGGTATGTGGGGTGCCTTGGAAATATTTCCGATGGTTTATTCTCTCCCCTCGTGCCCGAGACCATCTCTTAGGAGTGCCCAAGCCAAAAATCTATATCCAAAAGTCGATCATTCAAACCTATGGAGGCTTCCCGTATGTCAGCGCCTTTAAAGCCATGGCCTTATATTCAAAACACAGGTGCTTTCCTAGCTATTTTAGATGCAAATCGACTCACCCACTATGCCATGCCATAAAAGTCTAAGTCAACACAGACATTTCAATCTAAATCCACTTGTTCACCCTTCCTGCTGGGCTGTAAATTTGTTAGTATAGTACATATTCCTTCACTTTTACGAAACATTTTTCAGATGTCATTTCATTTATGAAGCCCATGGCTTTTTAACTGAGACTGTCTTTAAAATCGAATATACCTCCATGGCTTTAAAGGTGCGGACATACGGTAAGTACATGTACAGTGCGTATCGGTTATAGTGTGGTCGTGGAAAAGAATATACTGCCTACAAGAATGAACTCTCATATTTTCATAATCATAACATAGGTTTCATGTACGAAGTAGAGGTTGCGACTTCGGCGATGATTTTGTTTAGGAATGGGTTTGCTCCCACACTGGAGCTCGCGCTATTCAAGTTGTCGGCGGAATAGCGCGAGCTCCAGTGTGGGAGCAAACCCATGGGTTTCATGTGTATATTTATTCTTACAAGCAATGTTATCGTGTAATAGAATATATCGGTCCTAAGAATGGACTTTGTGTAGCAAAACATGCCAGATTAGTATAAAGTGTATCGCCTGTAGTAATAACATCTGCCCAATACAGTTCTGAACCGACTCGAAGTGCATCATAATGCTGCAAGTGCATCTGTTGTGGTCATGTAACTCATGTTGCTCAGCCACATGGTGAACCTATGCAGGCTATGGCCCAGTATGGGACTACTTTGGAAGTACGAGCAACCGCATACACAGCAACATTACGTTGCATGTATGATGATCTTCCTGGCTATGCGCACATGCATATGATACGTCACACTATATTTATCGCGTGTAAGAAACATCGGAAATAAGAATAGAAAGTCGTTTTTCAAACACCAACGCTATAACCGATACCTACTGTATGTCCACCTCGGGTTCAAGAGTGCTCCCAAAGTGGATGGGCATCAGGAAGTTGTCTAGACTGAACTCCCTGGTGGGCACTGGATGCTAATACCCCTTGTGTGTACCGTGGCTGTGGCCTAGTGGCCGCTTTCGGATGCGGGTGGCTTTTGGTACAGGTTCTGCCCAGTACGTTACACTATTGAAATGCATTCAAGTGGGGCGCCGTCCGCTGTGGCTAGGGTTGGCTGAAGTCGTCGAAGATACACTGGTTTGGAGAGTATTTATTCAGGCGGGGCAGTACTGGATGTATTTCTAGTGTGCAAGGTCCTCATGAGTGACTTAGAGAGTGGTATGAAATCCTGTGAAGAACATGTGCCTCGGCTAGAGTCTGCGGCTTCGAGTGTTTGGGGTTCAGACTTCTTTGTGGTGCCACGCACCAAATGGAATGCGTGTGAATCCGGTGCGTTCACCATTTGGCAGCAGACTTTTCAGAAACTACCGGATTGGGAAAGAGAAATTCCCGGCACACAGCCCACGGGCTTCTTTGCATGAACATATAGCAGACAATCCGTGATGCTACTCAGATGTTCGCACTGCGTTCTCGTCAACTAGAGCAGAACCTCACAAGGATAGCTGATGACTTACCACCCAGTGGTTGTTGGCTAAAGCCGCGTCATGGCCGGGAAACAAAGTCCTCTGTTTTGATTCCTGGCAAGAACTATGTGTTTTTCCTCGGACGTGCTTATAATGATCCCCGTACGGTAGTGTTTTTCCCCATCTTGCTTCGCAATCATAGTATTGCATGCCCGTGCATTTTTTCATTTGCTCTATTTTTATGCTTTCCGTGTATGACAGTGGGAATTCCAAATCGGACCATGTGAGGGTATTGAAGAAGGTGATCACCTGTGGATGGCCCGCTTCCTTCTGGCACGGTAGGTGTTAGGATCGTCCCGTTAACTCAGCTTTTTTTCTAAACTGAATCTCACACGTGAAATACCTGTGCGTTCATGGGTATCCTAAGCTGCTGGGTTTAATGACGTTGCGTTCTTTGCGATCCAGTTTGAGAGTGGCGACTATTTGAACCCTTTTGACTCTTGCGCGAGGCGAATATCCTTTACCAGTAGTGTTTATACGCCTCCTTGCTGCATACCACAAACACTGCACGTTTTGGTGTATGTACTCTTGACATCATTCAAGGTATAGGAAAGGTGACTAAGTATTGAAAAATCATCTTCGGGGTTCCAATGGACCCCACAGCTGCTCTAGGGCTAACCAAGTGGATCTCTTTTGGATGTTCCAGGATTTGCGAAGAAGCAGGAATCATTGCGTCTCTCGACCCCAAGCCAATCCCAGGGGACTGGAACGGAGCAGGAGCTCACTGTAACTTCTCCACGGAGTGCATGCGACAGGAGAACGGCCTGCCAGCAATCGAGGAAGCCGTCGACAAGCTGTCCAAGAGGCACGATTACCATATCCGCATGTACGATCCCAACGAAGGCAGGGATAACGAACGTCGCCTAACTGGTAAGTGTTCTCTCTCAGGCCTTATTTATATTCATTTCATTTAGGCGCCGCAAATATGGCCTGCAAATAGGTGATGGATTGCCATTGTGTCGGTCTAATATCCAAGGTAGAGTGTTTAAATTTCAATTCCCTTTCTCCAAGTTAGCACTTCTAAAAGTATACAAAATATTCACAAATGCAGGATATGCATAACTTATTCTTGCATTTTTTCCACTGATGTTAGTTTTGGCAAAATGAAAGGCTTTGGCTCACTTGCAGTTTTGGACTGTTTTTGCTATGCATGATTTCGCGGGGATGTGCCGTGCATTGTGCATCAAACCTACTCTTCGCACCATTGATTAGGGGATGTCACATGTACTGTAAATCGACATGGTTTTTTCAAAGGTTTTCGTAAATTCCCAAAGGGCTTTTCCTTTTCCAAACTTTGCAGCATACTAAACCGCTGCGCAGACTACCATGCATACTTCGGATTATAGCGGTCCTGAGTCATTTTACCCCGGCCTGCTGCTTACAAATTGGAGGTTTTCAAAATGTACCAAGGTTGTATACTTACAAACTTAAGTTGATCTACTGTATGCCAGTGTGGGTGCGTGCTTGTCCTTGCGCTAGGTGATGTGCCTTGTTTGCATTATTTCGTTTTGGATTTGATCTTGGCCTGTGGAATAAATCAGTGATGAAAGCTCACTGCGCGTAAAGTTCTCGGGCTGATTTTCAACAAGTCATAATGAGCATTGTTGTAATATTATAGGCAAGAAAAATGGCCATGTAATTTAATATAAGAGAACACATGGGTACCAGTTATGAAGTAATCCGAGTACGAAAATGGCCATGTGGGTGTTTGTGGAGTACTTGCACTGGGAGAGCAACTCCAGATCTTCTGTGCGCGTGTGCGAGATCACCATACTGTAAGCAAACGAGCAGTACTGTGCGCATTGATAGCCTCTACAGGTTGGATCATGCATTGAAACCTGAGTGCCAGTACATCGACCAAAGCAAGCAACTGGAGTGCAAGCAGTAGCCAAAGACACAAAGCACACCGTGATGTTACTCTTTGTGTCTACTCTTGGCAGCCACATGCGACTCGGACAGACGTTTTTGCTGTCATGGTGTACGAAGGAAGGCTTGCATTTTTTTGCAGCGGGCTTTCTCTTGACTGCATGTGCTTGTGTGTGCTTCCATGTTGTATTCAGGCGCGCATGAGACGTCCGACATCCACACCTTTTCAGCTGGCGTTGCTAACCGTGGTTGTAGTATTCGCATCCCTCGCCAGTGCTCTGCCGACAAGAAGGGTTACCTGGAGGACCGTCGACCCAGCAGCAACTGCGATCCATACAGCGTAACAGAGGCGATGATCACCACCTGTTGTTTTTAGTCTGGTCTATAGTCCGTGTGTCTTGTGCTTTAGTTTGCATTGTATTGTCGTCCGGCTTTTTTCCATCTAGTAACCTTTAGGTACATATTTGAACATGCATCGGCCATGTGACTTCTTTCATTTTTCTTCTGTGTGATTGTGTGTATGCGTGTCGTTTTTGTGTGTACATGTTTTACCATTGTGTTTGTGTGTGTATGTGCGTGCGTGTGTGTATGCGCTTTTGTGTGCATATGGGGATGGTCTAGCAAACATCTAATCGTGTTCACCTTTCCCTCTCTTTTCGTATTGCATTGCAATGTTTGCCTTTCTAAGTTGGATGTGATCTTTCCTCCATGGCATCGTCTCTTTTTCTATCTTGGATTTCAACCTTGTGTGACTGATTTATTCCCTTTCCTGGGACACGTGTACTTTTCTTGGTGCAAGCCAGTCAGACTGCACAGCTTGATTTTACTAGACATGACAAAGTTAAACTTGTTGTTCATGGTGGGATTTGCATGACACGCCCTTACCGGATTTCCTGCGGTCGTCTGTACGTAATGATTTTCTTGGAACTGTGTAATTGGGGGGGGGGGGGGGGGGGTGAAGGGATTCAAGCAAGGGTTTAGTCATGTACTTTTGGCTCAAGACCTGTTCACTGCTTCAGGGCATCACCAGTACAGCGGGTACGGGTGTGGCTATACAGCACCAGGTTTGTAAATATCCTAGCCCCCAGATGATGCACCTAGTGTGATCAATGCCATAAAAGCCCGTGTATATGCCCCGGCCCGGGCGGAATAGCAGCCTCGATTTCCTTGTCGTTTTCAAGGGCACGGGCGTTACTTTGGAGCCGGGAGTATACTTGGAATTAAAACATGTTGAAATTCTCCCCTCGCTCAATAAAATTATACCGTGACAATATCCATTTCATTTTTTAGCTGAGCATGCACACTAGTGTCCCTGCTTCAATGAACCAGAAGCAGTGTTCTGGTTTGGAAGAGCGATCCTGAAGCACATCCATCAACACAACAGTCCGTAAGTATTGAGTATCAGTACATGTATGGTGTTTTACGTCAACCATGACGGCTACAATGGCCAACCAGACCACAACGAAGTTGGGGCCAAAGAGAAAGTTTATTTCTTTCCCGTGAAAATATATACAGGGGCCATTTTTACAAAAAAAATGATTTATGTATACAAAAATGCATGTACGAAGTCACTACATTACACCCCCACCAGAGATGAAGCCGAGAGCAGTTGCTGAAGAACGCCAAACGGAAAAAAGATCTTGGAAAGGAAAGGAAAGAGTGAGCGAAGAGTATAAAGCGGAAAGACGGGAAAGAAAAATACACTGTACAAAGAGAAAGACTGTACAAAGAGAAAAAATATGCGCTGCATGTGGAATACCGTTGTATGACACGTGGACACAAGGTCCGAAACAAGGTAGAAAATGCAGGAAAGAGAAAGAGGAAACATGCGTGACAGAGGTGGAAGAACGTGTCAGAGGCAGTCCAGAGAAAGAAAGTAGAGAAAAGAACAAGGGAAAACGTACGCGTGACAGAGGAGGACGGATCTTGATCTTGTCAGAGGCGGCTGCGGGCTAGGAGATCTTGGCGGTTGATCGGCGGATCGGTGGACCGGCGGATGGTGGGCTGGTGAGGTCGTGGGCTTGGGCGCCTGCTCAATCTGGGCCGCGGAGGTCGAAGGCGCGATGGCCTGCTCCATGCCATCCATACAGCAACTCCGACTCAGCGCAGTGTCAGGGGTCACCAATTATGGTGTTTTACGTCAACCATGACGGCTACAATGGCCAACCAGACCACAACGAAGTTGGGGCCAAAGAGAAAGTTTATTTCTTTCCCGTGAAAATATATACAGGGGCCATTTTTACAAAAAAAATGATTTATGTATACAAAAATGCATGTACGAAGTCACTACACATGTACTACTGGTCTTGATTGCCGGCGCTATCTCGAAGCAAAAGTGTTGATTTCACTTTACTGGGCATGTAAAAGGGGGGGGGGGGGGGCGTGTGCACGGGTTTTTGCTGTATCCATTTTACAATTACACAAGTAAAATTGTGCTTTTTAAACGGGCCCAAATAGTACTTTATGTACCAGAGATTTGGTCGGGAGTAGATCTACCAAGCGGCCGTGCACTCGCTATGGACTCTTGGGAGTACATGTATACGAGTCGTACTAAACACGCGTGCACGGGTTATTCAGTGCGTCCTGATCAGGGAGTCGTGACTCCCTGATCCTGATTCATACTTGTACACATAAGATGGTCACACTACCTTATAGGGTGTGATTATTTATCTGGTAACTGGTACTAGTAAACTATTGCGAGGCCCTGTTTATCTGAGGAGGAAACGTGTCTTCCATTCTTTACCCAGTGGCTTACGAGAGCTGAGACAGTATCATAACCGTGATTATAGTTGCTACGGTAACACAGCGTAGTATACAGATTTCTGCACAAGAAGTTAGCAGGATTGCAGGTGTCAACACAGCAGCATTCAGAATTGGGCACGAGTAGTTAGCAGGATTGCAGGTGTCCAAAAAAAGAACAAAAAAAAGAACAGTGCTACATGTCAGACGTTCAGAATGACAACATATAAACGAGTAGAGGAGGCTGCATAGAAAGCGCCTATATGCTATGCAGCTGAAATAAACTAGCAAGCAGAGCATGACAGCGTACACAGTCTCTGGTGAATTCATGGATGGTGCATATCACGTGACCCATAGTTATGTCCCTAAAACGGAATTCTTCGAAGAACTAGAATAATTAATTTAATAGTAGCCAAGTCACAAATACTAGGAAGTAGTAAGACATACTGGCAACACGTAAGGCAAAAGAAAGAGATGCCAGTGCAAGCCAGTACATAGCAATTAAAAAAGCAGTGCGGAAACCTCTATTTCCTCCTCATGTCACCACGTGTGTAATGTCGACGCCATGGCTCTGACAGAGGGAAAAAGGTTGCCCGTGTGTAGTCATCTTGTGCCCATTTCGAGACTACACTGTTGTCATGAGAGGCCATATCCTGAAGAAAGCTTTGCTTCGTTGCAGTCCACGAGGCTTGGCTTTGGGCTGCAGTCTCAGGCGAAGGCTTCTTAGAACTGCGCAGGAAGCCGCCAGTCATTCTGCGCCTTGACGCGACCGGCGTGCCGGAATCACCTTCGACAATGACTTCCGTGTCTTGGTGGGCAGACTGCACAAGGTGAAGGCCAGTGGCAGTCAGCTCTTCCTCTGGCTGCGTTCGAACCACCACGTGCCTGGACGACATCTCTCCGATTTTCGCCTGGCAGCTACGAGTACGGTCACGCATCGTGACTGCTGAATCGTCCACAGCTAGAATTTCAAATGCCGCACGCGATGCTTCTTCCACCATTGCCAGAGAGTCTGCCGACTTAGCCATACGCTGCATCGCCTGCAGGTCTTGCGCCGCACTCAAAGACTTGTGAAGTCGGGAATGCATCGACTGAGTACTCTTGAGCACTTTCTTCTTCCTAAAGCGCAAGAAAAATTTACTCTCATTTCCGGGCTGTGCCTTTCTACCGGCGGTCTTTGCTTCTTTGGATGTTGTGTCGGTGTCGTCCTGTACAACGGGGCTTCCACTGGCATTGCAGCAGCTTATACTGACCCCGGTGGGTAACGACAACGTGCTACGAACGGTTTGACGTGCCATTTTGCGATTGGGCACGGCATACTTGTCTGCCTCTGCTGACATTGGCAATGAATCCCTTGATGCAGCCGACGACAGTGTGGTGGCAGCTGTGGTAATAGCAATACCGGTAGAGGCGTTCGGGCGCACCGCTGACATATCCATGTATTCATCGTCATCAATATAATAGGTATTGTCCTCGGCCAGATCACTGTTACTCAAACTGCTGAAGCTTGATGGAAAAGACTCCAAAGCAGAGTTGGAAATGGTCGAGTTGTGCTCCAATGCGTTGGCGCTGGTCAAATGATGGAGGCCAGTGTGGTGCTGTGAAGTCTTTGATGCCACTGGAACACAAACATCGTAGATTGAGTTGTCCTGCTGCACAGGAGCACTACAGCTTACGACTGGAAAATTGCTCTGGAAAGAGGGCACATCGCACACAGCCGTGTTCCCAGCGTGAATGTGACTAAAATCTCCATATGTGCCATATGTGCCATCATCACCAGCCAGATCGTGGTCCTTTGTACTGGGTGTGGGGTACAAGTCCGGAGCAAACGGCTCTGAATGTCGTGACGGCGCTGCACCCAGTTCATTAGAACTGCCTGCGAGGGCATAGACGTTGTCATCACTACCATCTTCCATATTACTGGTTTGAATACAAAGTTGCACTCACAATGTATTGTTAGTGAGTGCTTGCTGTACTATATGCTATGGCAAATAAGGAGATCTAGAATAGGCTGCTGGCAAACGAACCGGTCGACACATAGCCAAGCTTTGCCACCGTGGTTAGGAGGCAGACGCTTCACGATGACAGCTTGAGCGCAGCACTGTACTCTGGGCCGTTTCGCTTGTCGGGCCCTTCCAGTATCACGCGGGCGGTGTTAGGCACGGTCTTATCTGAAATCTCCATACAATGTCATGATGTACTTAGAACCGTTGACTGGCTTCCTGACTCGCTGACACCAGAACAGACGACTCCCCTTGCGATTATGTGACCCTCGTGATGGTCAACTTCTTGCACCTTTACTTGATCGATAGGTGGGTACAGTTAGATCCTCTGAAAGGAAGTGACGACCACTCTAGTCTCTATTCACGGATAATTATTTGAACTCTATGATAGAGCTGGTTAGACGTGTAACACACACGCACGTTTACAAAGTTCTGAGGTAGACTACTGGTATTACAGATCTGCTACGAGCTAGACAAGAGAGCTGGATTGAGCTCGATGAATGAACTCGCATAGAAGCAAGAGTATTCTCACTTTCTTGGCTGTAACAATGCAGCCAACAGAAAATGTTTTCAGATGGATACCATGTACCAGTGCTGCAAGCAAGCAGGATCTCTAGCTCTGCTTGCATTTTGAGTGAGTTCGGGAATGCTCAGTAGATCTACCGCGATACGCACGGTGTACATGTTCATGTAGCTATAGCGCTAGCACGACACTGCCCTGGTACGGTACGACGACTACGCGATTCGACGGTATACCGGTACCGCAGTCTAGACAGTGCAGCCGGTGTGAACATCCTCCAAAATAACAATTATTACACCTACATGTACAAATACACAATGCCATAGTCCAAGAGTTCATAACCCCGTGCCGTGTGAACTCTTCTTACACGGCACGTGATCATTGCCCAGGCCATATGCGCCATGGCCAATAGCCGGCTCTCCCGCGCCGCCCCGCACGCCGCTGGCATCCGGCATATCACTGAAACCAAGAGTACATATTGTACTCTTGCTGAA